TGGGGGAGAGTGTCAAGAACTAAAGCTGAAGTAAATGACATGCATTGCTCTCCTGTTGTCCACAGATCCATTCATTTTCACCTGGGTGGGAGATCAGGTTGGTTTATGTGTGATTTATCTTTGGAAACACAACAGTGCTAATTAGAACAAACAAAGAAACAAAGTATTTTTCTCTCTGCAAGAAACCCAGCTTTTCTTTCTATGGGCCAGTGAGCATTTTGTTACCTTTAACAAACACTTCTTTTTGTGTTAGCCTTCTACCTTTTGGAGATTCCTGTACATCCAAAATGGCCAAAAAGGGGAACCTGAATTCCCTGTCTTGGGCAAAATAGAACAGAACCTTCTGTTTATTCAGTCTGTGTGCTTGACAGCTCCCAGCTTCACACAGGTGTCTGTGGAATATAATGCAAAATTCATACTTGTTTAGCCGGTTCAATCCCCATCAGGCACGTACTCAAAGATGGGCTTTAGGAACAAAACCATTCATTTGGTCTGATGCCCTTGTGTTTGTTTGTGTGGTTTAAGCCTGGCACTCTGCTGATCACTGCATCTCCAGTGCTGCTTCTGAACGTGATGAAGTCCGAGTCCCGTAATTCCTCACGGATTTGAAGCAGAGCAGAGGTTAGTTTTCTTTGGGAGGCTGACCTCTAGTGTTTCAATATGACAAGTTCAAGAAAGGAGCGGAGGAATGAGTAAGGAGTGATGCCCAAAATACGTCTGTGTTGACTGGCATCTTATAAGCCTGCCAGAGACTTAATATACTTAATAATAAGAGAGGAAGTGTTGCTATGGTATCTTGAGGTGTATTTCTACTGCTATGGCCACATAAGGATTCCAGGATATTTTTAATCTTTATTTTAATTACTGAGTTAATTTTTTTTTTTACATTGTAGGGCCTCTTTCATTTTTTGATTACACAGTGTTGTGTGAGATTGGAATTATTAATTGAAACAAGAGCTGCCTTGTTCTTTGCTGAGAAGAAATCAAATAATCTCTGAAGCCTCAGCTATATACAAGATTTGATTAAAAGTCTTGTGGAGGTCACTGCAACAGCCACTGCTGAAACACAGTTATTTTTTATACATGAAAAGCATGAGCTTAGTATTAAAAGCAAGAAAGAGGTATCTATTATTCATGGTGGGTTTGTGCGTCTGCCTATGCAAAAATCCCAAGCGCAGGCAGGTTTTTGTTGCTTCAGGTAAGACCCCGTTAACGCACCATGGCTCAGCTGTGAGGTGTCTTCTGAGTTCCCGCTGACTTAGTATCCTTCTGTGTCTACTCCCAGCCAACCTCTGAGACAGTGGAAAAGGTATTCGATTGTTTTGCTGATGCAAATGTGTTTCTGAAGCAGGTGTTTCTTGAGCAAAATGAGAAGTGCTTCATTTCTTATTATGGTACTCCAGAGGAAGCTGCTTTGTTCCCTCATCTGATCACTTCCATGCACATTTCATAACATTTAAAGCTTAATACGGATCGTTTTTGTATGAAAATATATAATTTCAGTTGTGTCAGAGAGCATAAATTTTGAAATAAGAAGGGGAGCTTCTCCAGAACTCACTTAAAACCAGCACAAATATTTTTGCACAGCAAAACAATCTTAGCTGTTCTTGAAATTTCTGCTGTACAGACTCCCCCTTCCCCACTGAAGTCTGAATGCTGGAGGAAACCAGGACCAAAGCATGTTGAGAAGCCACTTACCCAAGCCCTGAGTTTGCTGGCACATGGCTAGAACAAGAGAACAAGACATGCTGGTGGGTTGTAGAGTGAAGGACCTGGAATGCTAATTCTTTTGTCCTTTGATTTCTTCAACATCATCTCCCATCACCTGAGCCTACACTCTCATTATGCTGGCTTCAGTTCTCTGGTACTGTGTCCTGCAGGTGTTTTTGTGAGTCAATTTTATATATGGGAAATAACACCCGTGAACAAATGTACTGTTGGAGTTCTGGTGTGCTGCTTTGCTCTGCAAAACACTGGCTTATATAAGGTCCACAGGCAAACAAGGTACCCTATGTTACTATAAATCAGGCATTGCTGTTGGGAAGCTCTTGCAGAAGGCTTCTTTCCTTTGCAGTGCATTATTCCTGTCTCAACAATTCAAATAGCCTGAATTTGTTGTATTTCTGGTAATGGTGCCAGACTTTTCCATTTAAATGAGAGATGCTGAGAAAACAAATCTTGCCTGTAGGTCTGTGTACTTGTCTTGAAATATCTGCCTTATTTTTGCTGCAGAGTGTTTTAGTGGCCAGTGTTTTTGGAGATGTTCTTTTAGCTTGATCATTCTGTTTTCACCAGGCATCAAAGTGAGAGTTAGTTTAAGAAACACAGAATCATAGAATAGTTAGGGTTGGAAAGGACCTTAGTTTCAAAGTGAAAGAGTAGACAAGTCAGGGAGTTCTAGAAATGCAGAACCAAATCTATTGATGTCCCTGGAACATCTTGTACCACGGCAGTAGGACTGTGACAGGGAATTTGTAGCCTGAGTGGAAAATGTATTATTGTCACATGAAGGGTTTGGCAGTGCACTCTGCATTGGGGCAAGAGATCTGTGTTGGTTTTGCATGTCTGATTTCTCTGGAAATCATAACCTTTGTGATGATCTGTTTGTGCTGTATTAAGTAACTCTGTAAGAGGGGAACATTACACAGGCCTACTCTTCCCTTTTATTCTTCCAATATCACTCCATATCTGCTGTTAAAACAGACTATGGCATCCTATTGCAGGCTTTTTTCCAAGGCAACAGGCACCGAGTAGATGACCAGAACTATCTCTCTTCACATCAGGAAATTCAATTAAAGCGTTCTGAAAATGAGCATGTAGAGGCAGAGGCGTCTCTACTTAATCACACACTTTCTGCTAATGTTCTTATTGCTCTTTGCATGGTTCTAAGACAATGTTAGATGTGTACCTAAAATACATTAGCTATATCTCAACCATGAAGGGGAAGCAATGCATGGCTTAGTAAATTGTTAATAGGAGTGAGAAATAATCATCATCTCTGCCAGTAGTTTAAATCCAGGCCAGTCTAGCATGGATAGCAGCAAGGTTCCTGGTTTCAGTAAAGATAAATCAATTATCAGCTTCACAGATAAAATGAGGTCATGATGTTAATGTTGAACTCGGGAGAGACCAGGCATAAAATCATGGAATTAACCAGGTTGGAAAAGATCTTTAAGATTAAGTCCAACCATTACCCCATATGGGTACAGAAGATAATACTCCTTCAAGATGTATTTTCGGAGAACAGGGAAGCTACCTGTTGCCCATACAGGATGGAATTTGCATTATTGGTGCTAGTGCATCACCTGTTTTGACCAAAGGTTTGTGGTATTGACTATATCTGGTTTAGGTGCATTTTATGGCAAAAAATTTTGCTTTTTAGAATCAGTGTGCATGAGTAAGATTTAGTGAGAGTTAGGTATCTTATTCTGAAGGCCTAAATTTTGCTACAGATCCAGAAAAAGCATTTTGAATTTAAACTTTCTTAGCTTAGAAATTAGTAGCTGATGATATTAACATACCTGCATTGTACTCATTTCTGACCTGTTCACAGTTGTCTAGTCTAAACTAGTCAGAGGTAAAATGTTGATGACCTGCAGATTTTAATCCACTCTAAGCATATAGACATTTGCATGTGGACATCATGGAGCTATTTCCATTTTGAAGGACCCTTTGTTGAAAAACACATGGAAAAAAAAATTTACTAGAGAAACATGATTCTGTCCTTTTTGGAAAAGGACACTTGAAACTATCCAAAATGGGTAGTTCTATTCCTTATTCTCTTAATTTCCTTTCAGGCTGAATGGGTAGAGTTTAGCTGACCCTGCAGACGTTTGGATGAAGGCTGGATAAGTTAAGGCTCCTGTTGTAGTCAATGGGGAGAAACAGATTTTTCTGGTGTCATTTATTTCTTCTGAAATATATACCTAAAATCAGGGCAATAAACTGGTACTTTGAAAGCACATATTTTTTCTATTAGGAACAGAACTTCATGAAGTTTCACTTTATACTGATACTTAATTTTCTTAAGGGCTAAAAATGACTACTTCATTCTTCATAAATATTGCAGAAGATGCCCTGTGGGTTCTCCTTGGCTTAAATCTTGCCTTTAAGACATCATTTCCTCACCCTGTGCTATGACAGCCTCACTACAGGACTTCTGTAGAGTCTTGACATGTTCTTCCTGTGTGGGTGTACCTGACCTCCATTAGCATGACCTTTTACAGTCATATAATAGTCCTGGCTCTTCTTTGTGCTTCTCTCCTTCTACGTACTAGCTTTGGCAACCAGGCTTTTCTCATCCCTGCTCCATAACTCTCCACTTCTGGATTGTATATCTGGGCCTGCCTTCTTTCTTGTAAGCATGATTCAACTTTTTTTGGTTTCATGGGTCCATGGTTATGTAAGGAGCAATTTTAAATCTCAGCATAGTGCTTTTGTCTGTGAAGCTGAATCAATTAGATGGGCCTCATCATCCACATTTCTCATCTGCAGATAAAGCTTTGTCACTGTTAGTTATTTTAATTGAACCAAAAGTTTGGGGACTATCTCAGAAATTATACAGGCTTAAAAAGCAAGGAGGATTTTGGTATTCTTTTGGTTACAGATGTTATTTCCTCCACCAAAAATTACCAAAGGTGTTGCAAAATAGTTTGAGGAGAAAAAAATATGTGTGCTGCATTAGTAAAAATTCCTAAGTAAAATGCTGCTTAAAGACAAAACTGGAAAGTTTGATTTTGTTTTGTATTTTATACTTTTAAAACGTGTGCATCAGTTAATGATCATACTGTAACCACCAAAATACAAAGGCAATTCTGGATGCCTACAAAAAGGGCTTCTCCATTTGAACATAAGACCCTTAAATTCTTTTTGAATGCTAAACCCTTAAAATCCATCAATGTCTCAGGGATTTGAACATGAAAGATGTTTTTTTGCAAGGTATTTTATGAATTGTAGACAACTAAAAGGTCTCTTTACAGCATTTTAACTTTCCACTTGAGGTCTGAACCTTGAGAAAAAGGGGAGCTCGTTACTGACCGAGAGCTGCTGTGAGCATGGACCTCTGCCATTCCCTGGATCAGTCCCAGAGTAATCTCTTGTTGAACAGATGTGGTGTGGTGTTAGCACTGGTTTTGAACCGAACCTAAATCCAGCCTGCTTTCTTTGTTATTACTGGGGGGTGATCTATTTTCTTTGCTTGCTGTCTCGGAGCTCTCTCTGGAAAAAAATTGATGATGGGGATGTGTTCCTGGTCTTTCTTTCTCTGTCAAGCTGTCGGTTTCATCAGCTCAATTTTTATGTTCCAGGCTGTGTGTGAACAGTTGTTGAATGCCTAATAGTACTTCCCTTTGCCAAGCTAATCTACTGCTAGTACTTAAAATTCAACTTCACATGAAATCTTTGGCAGCAAAAGATCTATGCTCAGTAGAACCTGTGATAGTCGACAAAGAATATTTTGAACTCTAGGCTGTAGTCAGAGCTATAACTGCAGAGGAATTAAATCACAGATTTCATCATCATGCTTTTTTAAGAGAGAGGAATTAATCATAGAACATTTGTTTTAAAAAAAAAATAAATATAGATCATAGTGACAAGATCAGAGGGCTCTTCTAGCCAGGCTTCTTAACAGTGAAAATTATGTAGGCTATGGCTTGAATATAGAGTGGAATATAGCTGTAGCAGTTTGTCTTAATACTGTTGAGTTGCTGAGATGGTCAGGTACCTTGTATTGCAAAGTCTTTGATAAGTTTAACCCCATGACAGGAGGCTGAAATAATTCCCCTGGACGAGTTATTGTGCAAGATGTCATGACTTATATGAAGGCTAAGGGTGTGTATCTCACTGTCTGCCAATATTTTTTTCTCTTGGAAGGATAAAAACCTCACATGATGCGGTGAGGTTGTATACAGCAGTCACAACAGCCCCCATAACCTGTTTAGTTCCATTTTATAAAGTAAACTGTTTTCTGGTGCTCCTTTGCACTGGTGAGATGCTGGTGCCACTCTTCATTTAATGATGAACTACATGTCCAAGCTGGACCTCTGCCTCTATCACATTAAATTTGGTGCAGTTTGAAGTCACACTGTTCCTTTGGGTCCCTGGCTGCTCCTGAGCTCTCAGACAGTGGGAGCTGGCAGAGAGCTTTCTCCACTTGCTTCTCCACCTTTGCAGATTTGCCTCTCATGCTGAGGCCTTCCTCTCTTGAATTTGCCCTTCTTAACTCCTTATTCTGGCTGCCTTGTTTTGCTACTCCTAACATTTTAGTCATTAAGCAGTTTCCAGTTATTGCCAGGATAAACATAATACCCTTTGTTGAATTTTACCTGTGTTTTTATTGCAAGGAATTGACCTAGAAGCGGTATGGTTCCTGCTTCAGAATTAATGCTATATGAGATTTGAAAAAAGGAAGCTGAAATAGAGGAAGGAGCCTAAGACTGCTCTTGAAATTACTCTCTTGAGGCTGTCAGGAAGTTGATTATAAAGTCTAGGTCTTTGGCCAGCGGCGACTTACCTTGTTCCCTAGGCATCCAAACTGAAGTATGTGCTTTGGAGGTAGTCATCTTGTTACGGATGTGCCAAGCCCCAGATTGCTCCATTTCCTGAGCTCAGAGACATGATAGGGCTTCCTGACAGCACAGTAGGGCTGGTAGGGCCAGTGAAAAGATTTTGCATCTTAAACTAAGAAGAAATCTCATCTTCCAGAAGTTGTTTACCAGGCAAGAAATAGCCAGGGAACTTCAGGGCTATTAACGGCTACAGGTGATGTCAGGTTACCCACCAGAAAGAATGGGGAATGGATTCGCCTTGGCCTCTCCTCTGCTCACCAGATGGGGCTGCTTCTGAGGGTTTAAAGCTTTTGATTTTTCTATCTGACCTGTGAATTGTATTTTCTTCAGACAGAATTTTTATGGCTCCCGTTGGGAGGGAATTAGTAAGGCAGCAAATCTGGTGCAAAATAATAATTTTCCTAATTTACAAGTTTGAATTCTACTCTCTTGCTCACCCAGCCCAGATTCAGCAGTACATTCTGTTTGAGATGTCAGTGTGTAACCCTCCTTGCTTTTAACATAGTATAACCAAAATGCAGAGAATTGCACACAGGAAGAGCAGGCAACCTGCCTTTGCCTTACAACAGACAGAAAGCCTCCTGCAGCTCTTGGCAAGGAAGCAGTGCTGCTTGGCACTAGGTTGTGTCATTTGACTTTGCCTCAGATAGAAATGTAATTCCCAGGGCTTAGAGTGTGCTCTGCTGGTGTGATGGAAAGGAAAGGTGGAACTCAGGAGCTCTGACTGTCATTTACTTCCAGTCTTCCCCATTTTAGAAAAAAAACCCAAACCTTAGGCAAGAAGTTTTCCTGCCCTGCTCAGGTGGGATTTGAGTTCTTGCTGAAATAAAAATGTGCTAAAACTCAGAATTTGTAGGCGTGCAAATATATCTAATTGTTGTGCAGTTGCATGGGGAGTCAACACATCAGTGCCTGCAATTAAAGGCTCAGTAAGCAGTTGGAAATGTTTTTGTAAGTTTTCAGGTGTGTTCCCAAATGCACAGGTATGCCTATTATAGCATTTTCTTATGACTCCAGAGTGTACAGGGGAGCCTGACTTGGGCATGCATGGGTAGTTTGGACACTTTAGTGCCGTAGACAATATCGAGCATGCATATTTTATGTTTAGTACAAATTAGCCTTGCAAAATACCAAATGAGTACCTGAGGGGAGGTGTACTGTGTTGAAATTGGAATCCACGTGAAATCTGTTCAGTATTAAAACAGTTGAATCCTGAGCTGGCTTCTCCACTGGTGTCAATCAGTCTGGCTCCATTAACTTCAGTGGAGCTGTGCCTCCGTCTCTGCTGGGGAAAAGACCTACTCTGAATGTGTTGAGTAAACTCAGCATAGTTTTGTTAATAGATCAAAAATGCTTTTCTGCAATATTTGGAATGTAAATTTACTCTCACAATTTATAAATTAACTTTGAGCCTGGTTTGTGAACAGTTCTGCTGGGTCACTGCCTATTGTCATAAAGAGCTGCTGGAGAGCAGGACAGGGTCTGGTAGAAAAGGAAAGGATCTGTATGGGGTCCAAGCAGGATGCGGTTAGATGCTGACCTCTACCCTCCCAGTGGACATGGGAATGGTATGTCTTTCCCAAGGGGAAAGCTTGCACTTAAAACATTCTATGAGCTATCCTTTAGTGGCTGCAAATCACAAATTTGCACTCGGGCCAATGATTTCAAAATAGCTCCATGACTTAGGAGCTGGAGACATGTCCCTTGTCAGTCAGACTTAGGGTCCTAAATATGTAAGATTTTTAATCATTGTTTCTTGAAGCCCTGAGTCCTGAAGATATTTTGAATATCTCCTGCTCTGATATGAAAGCAACAGGCATTTTCCAAATATGATGATTTAATTAGCTGACCCTAATAAAAAAAAGTCAACCTGAGCATTCTTCCTGTCTGCCAGTTTTAATTACCAGAGAGGAAAAAAAGAGGAACAAAGACTCAGAAACTCATTCTTGTCCTGTTTGAGTTTGAGCTCTCAAAATAGAGACCATCAAGCTTCCTGGGAAAGGGTAGAAGGTGTCATAGCAATTGAAGACAAGCCCTTTTTAATTAGAATAGTGGGGATTTTGAAAGTTTGTTCTTTTATGACTTGAGTTACCATGGGGAAAGAACGGAAGAGTAACTGGATTAGAATTAGGGCTGTGAGAAGTGTTTGAAAGAAAAAAATAGATTTCCTCTATATCTAAACAGAGAGAGTTCCTACATTAGCACCACAGCTGCAATATGCACACTGTGTCTAACATAATTCTGGAGTAAAGAGCTTCATGTCTTGCTGTTTGCATGTAAACCTAAATGTGGGCTGTACTGTTGTAGGTATTGCTCTTGGGGCTTTGTATCAAAAGCAGGTATCAAAGCATGGGGCTTTGGCAGATTTGGCAACTAATTCTTAGGTTTTAGTTTTGGATGGTTGACTCAAATCAAGACAGAGACCTTTGTATGTCAGCACAGAAACTTTCACCAGAGTCCTGTAACCACTCATGTCATGCACTGCATGCTCCATCACCCCAAAGCAATAGCAAACAGCAGTTACCTCTTTAACTGTTTATCTCGCATTCTTCGACTTATAAATGCTCCCATTTCTTTAAAGGCAGATAATAAATAAATCATAGGTGCAGTGTCTCTTTTCCACCTCGAGGCAAAACAAACAAAGAATCATGAATGCAATAGTGACATCTTTGGCAGATATTCAGCACAGGCTTATACTCTGTTAATTCTATTAATTGTTGATATGGAATAATCCCGATAAATTTGGCCAGGCTTTTTTAAAAGCAGAACCTCTGTTTAGTCTTCCTGCATGCAGCCCACTGGGTTTTGCTTGAACCTGGGATATGCCAGATTCCTAGGACTCGTCCTAGAGTGCTCACAGACTGTGTGGGGCAGCTCTGGGTGCCACTGCTGGGAGTAACTCCTTCACAGAAGGAGAGTTGTTCACTCTCTTATACTTGAATCTCTGAGGAGGCCAACTTAATCTCTGCTATTCTCTCTTGTATCCTCCACTGGCATCGCTGTGCAGTCATACCGTCTGAGATCTCTCTACTTTCCATCATTGCTTCCTATAGTAATCACTGCAACCAAGACAACCAGTCTTAGGCAGAGACAATTAATACTTCAGGTCACTGCTCTCACGTTGTATTTTATTGCTTGAGAACGAAAGGATCTGCTTTTTGCTGTCAGAAGATATATAGAGGTGAGGAACCAAGGAGCAACACCGAGTTACTGCATTAAAATAAATACAGTGAGTTATGGCACTGCACACACTATAAGGTGTAGTTGCTTGTAGTTTATGAAGCTATTATAGGAAGGAGAGGGACTCTTCATTAGGGATTGTAGTGGTAGGACAAGGGGTAATGGGTTAAAACTTAAACAGGGGAAGTTTAGATTGGATGTAAGGAGGAAATTCTTTCCTGTTAGGGTGGTGAGGCACTGGAATGGGTTGCCCCGGGAGGTTGTGAATGCTCCACCCCTGGCAGTGTTCAAGACCAGGTTGGACGAGGCCTTGGGTGAGATGGTTTAGTGTGAGGTGTCCCTGCCCATGGCAAGGGAGTTGGAACTTGATGATCTTAAGGTCCTTTCCAACCCTAACTATTCTACGATTCTATAAAAATCTGTATACAAGACTTTTCTCTTTCATTACATCACTGCAAACATTTTCTTCAGTATGCTAAATGCTACTTGTATCAATGAAAGATTTAGGAACATAAAGTTCTGAATGGGATGGTAAAAGGCATAATACAAGAACCTCAATAGCAAAAGAGGTTACTTCATATGCTAGTGAAATTAATTGAGGGGTTTTGTTCTTAATAGTCTGATCTGCATGCTTTGCTCTGTGTAGGAGCACCTGCATGGCCCATTGGCAGATGGGGAAGTGTGTAGTATTTGAAGTATTAGAATAATACCCATTGGCAGATGTGGAAATAAAGTGGTATTTGAAGTATTAGAATAATAATGAATTTAAATTAACCTTTTAGCTTCATTTTTGCAGATAATTAATATTGTGCATATCACCAGTTGCCACTTCTCAGATAAGGGGTGGGAACCTTCTCAGAAAGTCTGATCTGGTTTCTTGCGGCTCACGTTCTACAAAAGGATAGCTGCCTGTCTAATTTAATTTTACATGTAGGCAATCTTTTATTAGATGAATTTTATTCAGTCCTCTTTCAGGCTGAATGCTGGTGTAGGGCTTTCAGGTTATGCCAAGAAAAACAGGAGTTCAAATAGTGGAGCTACCATCCTAGATCTGCTTCTTCCACCCC